CCCCGTTGGGGGTGAGCAGCCCCGAAGCGAAGGGATGAGCTCCTTGAGGGAGTGGTCGCGCTCCAACATGCTACCACCTTATTAACCCGCCTGGAGGAGGTGTCTGAGCCCCCATGCTCGGCCCCGATGCTGACCTCAAGGATCGTCTCACCAGCAACCACAACGAGGGGTCAGCTCCTACCGCCTACCATCTAGCGCCTGCCTTCCTAGGGGGAGCCAGGTTGGCCGCCGTCCAAAAAGCCGCTATTGCGCTAACCCACCTCGTATAAGGGCTCCGAGGAGGTGTTCAAGCCCCCATGCTCGGCCCCGATTCTTCTCGAGGGCTGCCTACACTTACCCAACCCCTCTCAAGGGGGCGCGGCAGGTCGAGCACCCAGTTTTCCCAAACCCCAGGAACTCAAGTTGGGGGGGGGGAGTGAGGAGGTTAGCTATCTTATTCTCTGTCCAAGAAAAGGTGCACCCGGCGACCCCACCCCAAAAGTCCAAAGCTATCTTGTTCTTTCAAAGGTAAATGGGTGGCTTGACTCCAAATATTGACATATGTTCTTATTAACCCATGGTCGCGGTCATACGCGCCAGCCCCGACCTTGGCATTTCCCTAACGGTAGTACAGGGGGGACACCCCTGCTCACTACCTAATGGAAGAACCTGTTATGGGTTGCTTGCCCCTTGACAAGGCCGAAGCCAAGCCGGTGGGGAGAACCTACATGGTCTCCCGCGATATACTCTACAAGAGGTCCTACAATGACACCCTGCTACATTGCTTGTACCCTAACGAAGCGAGGTCAGTCATAGAGGAGATCCATAAAGGGACCTGCTTGACCCACCAAGGGGTCCGTCCCCTCTAATGATGTTTTAAGAGGTGGACCGTCCCCTCTAACGATGTTTTAAGAGGTGGAGCGTCCCCTCCAAAGATGTTGCAAGAAGTGGTCTGTCCTCTCCAATGATGTTTCAAGTGGTGGAACGTCTCCTCCAACGATGTTTTAAGAGGTGGAGCGTTCCCTCCAAAGATATTGCAAGAGGTGGTTCGTCCTCTCCAATGATGTTGTAAGAGGTGGTACGTCCCCTCTAATGATGTTTTAAGAGATGGATCGTCCCCTACAACGATGTTGTAAGAGGTGGACCGTCCCCTCCAACAGTGTTGTAAGAGGTGGTTCATTCCCTCCAAGAATGTTTTAAGAAGTGGTCTGTCCCCTACAGGGGGTACATACCCGCCCTCTCCAACCATATCCTAAGGGGGCGCGAGGTCCGACCTCGCATATCAACCCCGGTGGATGAGCCCAAATACTTGGTGACGAATGACCCAAGTGGAGCGGCTACAGTTCCCTAAGGGGGCACGAGGTCCGAACTCGCGTACCAACCCCGACGGAGGAGCCCAAATACTTGGTGTCGAATGACCCAGGTGGAGCGGCTATAGTACCCTAAGGGGGCACGGAGGTCCAACCTTGCGAACCAACCCCGACGGAGGAGCCCAAATATTTGGTGTCGAACGACCCAAGTGGAGCGGCTATAATACCCTAAGGGGGCACGGGGTCTAACCTCACGTACCAACCCCGATGGAAGAACCCGATGGCTTAGTCCAGTAGGACTTGGCTCAAGCGGCTAGCGCACCCTAAGGGGGCACGAGGTTCGACCTCGCGTACCAACCCCGACGGAAGGACCCAATGACTTAGTCCAGCAAGACTTGGCTCAAGCGGCTAGCGCACCCTAAAGGGGCACGAGGTCTAACCTTGCGTACCAACCCCGACGGAAGAGCCCAGTGGCTTAGTCCAACAGGACTTGGCTCAAGCGGCTAACGTACCCTAAGGGGGCACAAGGTCTAACCTCGCATACCAACCCCGACGGAAGAGCCTAGTGGCTTAGTCCAGGGGGAGTGGCTCGAGTGGCTAACATAAGGCATTTTGTTAAAAAAAAATATTAAAAAAAAAAGCCTACGGCACCTCGGAAAACTGCCGAGGTGCCTGAACTCAGCACCGCGGCTACGGCCGAGGTCTAGTACCTCAGCAACAGCCGAGGTACAAAACCTTGGATGCTGCCTAGGTCCAGCACCTCAGCCGCTACCGAGGTCTAGCAGCCAAGGTGTGAAACATTGGTAGCTGCCGAGACCTTGCAACCGGGGTCGAAAACACGGACGGGGAACGAGGATGGTGTCGCGAAACTTCGAAATCAACAAAACAAAGGGAGCCGATTGTTCTTTCAAAACGTCAAGTCTGGTACATCACTGAGGGAGAACAAGCTTTTGCTGGGTGGTGCATTGTCTTACTCTCGTTCGTTGTTGACTTCTCACAACGAAGAGAGTGGGGGACTCACATGATGGATATATTATGCGTGGAGCAAACCGACCCGGGGGACCGGAGCAAGAAGTTGGAGCGGCCCAAGATGTCTCACCTCGGCCCAAGACGGTTCACTTCGGCCCAAGACATCTCACCTCGGCCTCAGACATCTCACCTCAGCTTAAGACGTCTCACCTCGGCTCAAGACGGTTCACCTCGGCCCAAGACGTCCCACCTCGGCCTCAGACGTCTCAACTCAGCTTAAGGCGTCTCACCTCGGCCGAGGACGTCTCACCTCAGCTTAAGGCGTCTCACCTCGACCTAAGACGGTTCACCTCGGCCCAAGACGTCCCACCTCAGCTTCATACGTCTCACCTCAGCTTAAGGTGTCTCACCTCAGCTTAAGGTGTCTCACCTCGGCCCAAGACGTCTTACCTCGGCCTAAGACGTCTCACCTCGGCCCAAGACGGTTCACTTCGGCCCAAGACGTCTCACCTCAGCTTAAGGCGTCTCACCTCAGCCTAAGACGTCTCACCTCGGCCCAAGACGGTTGACCTCGGCCCAAGACGTCTCACCTCGGCCCAAGACTTCTCACCTCGGCCCCAAACGTCTCACCTCAGCTTAAGACGTCTCACCTCGGTCCAAGGCGCCTAGGTCCATAGCGAGCTCGGCCTAGTACACCTCAACACAAGGCACCTCGGCCTAGGATGCCTTGGCTACAATGTGTTCGGCCGTGGTGAGCTCGGCCACATTGCGCATGGAGGTCGGGTTGGGACATTTGCTCTCTTTCATTGTCGACTTCTCCAACGAAGAGAGTGGGGGACTCATGATGGATATATTATGCTCGGAACGAACCGACCCGAGGCGACGGACCTGGAGTACCTCAGCCCAAGGCATCACGAACCCGGGACACCTCGGCCCAAGGCACCACGGACCCGGGACACCTCGCCCAAGGCCCCACGGACCCGGGACACCTCGGCCCATGGCACCACGGACCCGGGGCACCTCGGCCCATGGCACCACGGACCCGGGGCACCTTGGCCCAAGCCACCTCGGCCAAGGCACTGAGCTCGGCCATAGGCCGAGATCAGGTCATAATGAGCTCGACCAGGCCAAGCTCGGGCCTTAAAGGGCTTGGCTAGGCCGAGCCGCCCCCTATCGAGCTCGGACGCCGAGCTCGGGGTTTTAGGGGGGCGCGGGCGCGCTTTGGACCCGGTCCCGAGCTAAGACGCGGTCAAAGCGCCAGATCCAACCACCCCCGGTTTAGGGGGAGCGGTTGGCGGTTTGTTGCATATAAAAACCCCTCATATTGTCCTAACAAGGGAAACTTGATTTCTATCTTACACACTTGGTCCTAAACTATCGTTGTAATAGCCCGACTATTATTATAATGCAATCTACGGTCTCCATGGTCATACAACATCGTATTGTTTATCCATCTATTTGTTATTTACGTTCTTATCCGGATTTAGTGATTCAGGTCCACCCCGAATAATTAAATCCATCAAAAATCATACTATATGATAGGAAATAGTCCAAAGGGTTTTAGTCTAGCTTAAATCTAATTAAATTAAAACAAAATAAATTTGCCAACGAAGATTTTAAATGTGTAGTAACTTTGTACACTTGCACACTATATTATCTTCCGTTCCACTGTGCGAGGCAGATGCTAAGCTTAGATAATGTTTTCAAACTCAGAATTTCTGTTGAAACCTGCGATTGGTTATCCGATTCAGATTCAGTTGGTGCATGCATGGAACATGAGCGTCAAACCTGGGCTCTTTGTACCCCTCCTATTACTATCCCATTGTCTTTTTAGGAAACAAATACTAAAAATTGTTTGCGTATTATATCAGTATTTTACTTTCGAAAGTGCCATAAGATTCTGGCAACATAGATTGTTAACATTGTTTACAAACGTTATAATACCATTTAATACTAGCAATGAAAATAAATGAAAATTTGGTGAATAAGGTGACATCATTAACGGGAGCAAATACCAATTTTGGTCCCACGAGTATTAGTAAAATGACGGTTTTGGTCCACATGCAATGTTTAATTTCTATCAATTTTCATCCACGACTATTGTTTTAGTACCAATTTTAATCCACGACTATTATTTTAGTACCAAAATTCATCACGTCAGTCACCCATCTATTTAAGACATCACGAAAACTAAAAATTTTAAGGGCATTGTTGTCCTTTTCAACTTAAGATCAGATTCTAATTTGATTATAAATAAATGAATTTAAGTCCTAAGATCGATCCCAATTCGCAGTTCTCCTCCCCATCCTACCTAAATTTGAGGAAGAAAACTGTGAATTGGGATAGATCTTTGGACTTAAATCCCTTTATTCATGCTCAAATAGGGATCATAATTTGAAATGCACGAAACTACCCTTAATAATTTCATATTTCGGCATGTCTTAAACGAAGGGGTGACCGGCGTGATAAATTTTGGCACTAAGACAATAATTGTGGATAAAAATTGGTATTAAAACAATAATGGTGGATGAAAATTGGTATGAATTAAACATTTGACCAAAAATGTCATTTTGTTAATACTCGCGTGACCAAAATTGGTATTTGCTCTCATTAACTGAAATTGAACTAGTAGTTAGTTTGAGTATTATACTATTTTTTTTTTTTATTATAGTATCTTGTATGGTATTGTAAAAATTCTCAATGGAAGTTCAACTATAAAACTATGATTTGCATCTCTTCCACACTGACATATTCTCTCCTGTACCTATTCTTCATGAATTCATATAGACCATAAAATTTTCACAAAAGAACTGAAGAAGCTAGCTTGTTCAATCTTCAACACAATCATATATGGCTCGTTGTTTCTCTTTCTTGACTACTTTTATTGTTCTTCTTGCCATCTTCTCTTCCATTCCACTCTCATCTTCTACACCTTTTATTGTTCTCCATGGTAAGCCTAGTCATATATTAGTATCATTCTTATGATTTTTTTTTTTTTAATGTGTGTGTGTCTATATATATATATATATATATATATATATATATATATATATATATATATATATGAGAACAAGTCCTTAGGAGAAAACTAAGAACCAATCTTAACCTTACATCTGGAAAAATCTGAACGCACCAGATCAGATTTTTTAAAACAAAAACGCCGTAACGTATTTGTAAATATCACTATATTTACCATGCAAACTTGAACGCCAAAATCCGCAATTTTTAAACTTTTTCAGGTTTGCACATTTAGTATTAATATTTTGCATATTTAGTATTAAAATATCGCACTTGCAAAAATGCGAAAGTATATTGCACATAGGATTTTGATTTTAGAGTTTATGATTGAGTTTTTCTCTGTTTTTATTTGGTTTAATAGTTCACTTTTTACTACTTAGGGTTTAACATTTATAGTTAAGATTTTAAATTTAACTTTTTGGTTGATTTTATAAAATTTACTTGGTTTGCATATTTAGTTGTTAAATATTGCATATTTAAGTGTTAAAGTTTACATAGTGAAGTTGATGATAACTACGAAAACGTCACCGCCTCTTCTTCTTTTTTTTTTTTTTTTTTAAATCTGATCAGATCCGTCGAGTTTTTACAGATGTAAACTTGAGATTTGTTCTGAGTTTTCTCTTAATGCAAACTTGCCAACTATTTTGTACAACTCGTAATGACGGATCACGGATTTGAATTTACAATTGTGTAACTTGTACATAATGCCTAATTCTGAAACCACTGATAGTTATGCAGTTCACACAGAAAAACTGATTCTGTATACCTGTTAACTTTCGATAGAAGAAGTGTTTGAGTTCAGATCAAATTTCATGCACTACCATTTTTCTGACTCATTAAAAAGTATTCAGTCAACATGTGAAAGGCGTATTTGTGATAATTATAAAAGAATATTACTATGCTTTGTGATGTTTTCACGCAGGTATTTCAATGTTTTGCCAAGATTCAGGAACTGTTTATTACACCCAGACACTTAAATCCTTGTTACGTGTTCAAGGATCATGCGTGTAAATTATCTTCTCCCTTTTAGTATGTGGTAAAGTAACTAATCAAATTACATGCATATGTTAAATATGTTTGTGTATGTGTGCAATTTTGGTTTGAAGGGAAGTTGGAAATGGACTACGTGATTCATGGATGATGCCAATGGAGAGCCAAGTACGATATATAAAAGGAAAAATTATATTTTTGATCATTCAGTTATACCCGTGATACAAACTGTTGAGATTAACAAGAATAAGAAACAATAATAAGGGTAGAAAGGTAAATAAGATAAGATTTACGTTGTTTGACGTGCTTACATCCACGGGAGTGAAACTATTCTTTATTCATAGCAATGGTAATTGTGGTGATACGATCCCTTAGGGATACCCAATATATTTATAGACATCGTCTAATTCCTGTACAATGGGTCTACCCTATTCCTAATCTTTATATGAGACAAACTCAAGGCAAACTTAGTCCTTGAATTATGTGTGACCATTTAACCCCTAAATTATACACGATCTAGCGCTTTTGGTCTCCTGAGGACTATTTCTGCCACCAATTTGTCACTTAATAAAGTGATATTTGATCCTTCAAAACTAAATTCAAATCACACTCCATGCATAACTTAGGGATTAATTATAACCACGCATATAACTCAAACACTAAGTCTGATCTGTACCACGGGTATAATTGTATGACCAAAAATACAATTTTCCCTATACAAAACCATTAGTTTAATTATCATACTTTTGGCATTTGTAGTTGGATTATTATATTCTTGAATATATATGTCTGATTTCTATTCATAATGTTTTTTCATCACTACCTACTATGCAGGTTAAAGATGCTTGTGGCAAGGTGATGATGAATCGCCTTTCCTTCTTTCTGTGGTTTGAAAATTTTTCTTTAAGGATTTCTGAACACTCACTGTATATAGTATTTTAAAATTGAATTATATTGCAGATCAAGGGAATGGCACACCTACAAGGAGGTTACCACATGGTTGCTCTCTCCCAGGTGATGATCCACAATGCTGTTTTGCAAAAACCTCTAATACTACTCTTTTTTTTTTTGAAAAAAGTAAAACACTTCTATGATTACATTTTTCATTAAAATCAGACACTATCCAAACTGTCCTGATGTATGATTTTCGGGGTTTTGCGGCACCATGTTTTGTTCCGGAATAAAAATTCAATTCAACCAAAAAAAAAAAAAAATACTTTTATCTCTTTTTTTTGTATTCTACTGACTTTATTACATTATTACTTTCTCAACCTAATGAAGGCATATGAGAGAGGTCACTATATGCCATCTGAGCACAATGTGCTTGGCAGTATTACTTTTCTCTTAAAATAATTTATTAAAATATAATATTTTATAATGAAAATGTAGTATTTGTTAGCCCATATAAAATTATAACAACCGTTATGCTGTGGAATTGTGTCCACCTTGCAAGGTGGACACCTTGCAAGGTGGACACGGTTCTATGTTCATAATTACTTAATTATATGTTCATAATTATAAAACTATATATTCATAACTTTTGAACTTCATATTCATAATTATTGAACTCTATATTCACAATTACAGAACTCTATGTTTATAATTAGTAAACTATATGTTCATAATTATAAAGCAATATATTCGTAATTTTTGAACTTCATATTCACAATTATTGAATCTCTATATTCATAATTACAGAATTATATGTTCATAATTATGTTCACAACTCTATGTTCATAATTATAAAACTATATGTTCATAATTTTTGAACTATATATTCATAATTGTGAACAGTTATGGAACCGTGTCCACCTTGCAAGGTGGACACGGTTCCACGGCATAATTTGCCAAATTATTACATTTTTATCTATCTTATACAAAAAAAAAATTTAGTACTATTGACTATGTTACAATGTTATCTGTTATCTTATACTCGTAGAAGACTAATTGTATTCTTTCTTGTTTGCTTGGCACTAGTGTTGGCTTAAGCTATGTGTACTATTGCCTAATTTTATTTAGAGACTCGACTTTAGTATGTTTAGGCGTAACCTTATCTCAATCTTAAATTATAATTGATTGGGTTGACTACTATGATGAGAGGATTAGAAGAGTCCTACATAAAAAAATTAAAGAAAACGAATGGACGCACACATAGACAATAGTTAAGAAAACGTTGTCTTTTAGGTCAAAATCTGTTGTTAAAGTCAGTGTATACGTTGTTATAATGGCTTGATGAGTTACAGTTGTTAATTTGTTAATTTTACCTATGTGCATTATAACTCAACCATGCGTGTCTACACGTGGGCCTAAATGATTCTAATAACTCAAGTATTTGGCTGAATTGGTTTTCAGGGCAACATGGTTGGCAGAGGAGTAATTGAGACATGCGATGGTCCACCGGTAAGAATCTTGTTGATCAAACATGCATGATTAAGCTAATAAGCTGTATCTATATGTTTAATTTGTGTCCAAATATATGTATTGTCTGTTATATACATATATATATATATATATATATATATATATATATATATATATATAAGCGAGTTCAGGTGCGGCAGTGTCTTACGGTGCGGCGGTGCGGCAACACCAATAGTTTAACAAATATGCACCATCAACATTAGGAAAATACACCACAAAAAAATAAATAAACAGAGCCCGCATCACCAAACACACACCATTAGGTGTGAGTAAAAACACCATACACTGTTCGGAAATACACCATTGGGGGTGGTGAGTTATATGGTGTATTTTTTTTTTTAGTCTGTTGTGTATTTTGTGATGTTTTATTGCATTTCACTGTGGTGTGTTTTCTTACACTGTTGGTGCATATTGTAACATTGTTGGTGTCTTCTGGAATTCCGCCGCACGGGAAAACCCCGTCGCATTTGAACTTTATTCTATATATATATATATATATATATATATATATATATATATATATATATATATATATATATATATATATTGGTTGAGTTCCATTAGGATAGCGATATATAGAGGACTATGCGGATAAATAATGTGCACATGATAAATTAGTATCATGCACACAATTTCATACATAATGACACACTAAAATATATGTAAACATCAGGTTTTGAACCCATGCTCTATTATTAATAATCTATGCACACGACATACATACTAATGGCACACGACTACACCTGTCAACCCTATTCACACGGCATACAAACTATGGCACACGACTACATTAGGTCATGCTCATGAGATACAAACTAATGTCACACGACTACATCTGTCCGCATAGTCCTCTATAATATACTTGTCCTCATTTGAACACACACACACACACACACACACACACACACGCACGCACGCACACACACACACACACACAATATATATATATATATATATATATATATATATATATATATATATATATATATATATATATATATATATATATATATATATAGTGTATGCAAACGCGATTAAATGTGTGCGAACGTGCTTAAGTGTGTGCAAATGTGATTGATCTAGATTGGTCTAGGTGACATTGTGAGATCAAATCTTGTACATCAATCTAATAAATTTAATGGTCTAGATTGATTTAGATTAAGTGTGTGCGAATGCGATTGATCTAGACCATTAAATAATATTAGATGGATGCACATGATTTATTCTCACGTTCTCACCTAAGCAAGTGTTCTTATTGGAACCCTTATATATATATATATATATATATATATATATATATATATATATATATATATATATATATATATAGGCGCGATCTCATGCGAAAGGCCGCCTTAGTGTGAAATGCGAACCAATTAGCGCGCGCCACGTGTCAACATTCATTGATCGGGTGCACCTACTTTCACCTACAAGTGCATGTAACTTTGCATCTACTTTCACCTACAAATACACCTACTTTCACCTACAAGTGCACCTACTTTCACCTAGGTGCACCTAGTTATTACTATATGTACACCTAGATCTGGACACGTAGCGCGTGGTGATTTTTTCGCATATTCGCTCCTAGGCGCGCCAATTGCACCAGAATGCGACTCTCTCTCTCTCTCTCTCTCTCTCTCTCTCTCTCTCTCTCTATATATATATATATATATATATATATATATATATATATATATATATATATATATATATATATATATATATATATATATATATATAGTGTTGCCAGGACTTAACATGCGGTTAGTGTGGCCGCATCATTAGGTATGTAAACACGCACAAATAGTTTTAGGACACGCACAAATAATTTTAGGAAACGCACAACAAAAAATACACTAATGCACCAAAAAATGCATCATTAGGTACGCATCACCACAAAATGCACCACTAGTTAATGTAGAAACACACCACACAATGTTAAAAAACACACAATTAAATATGAAGATGTATGATACATTTTTTTGAATGTGTTGTGCATTTTATGGCGTATTGTTACATTTCATTGTTGTGCATTTCTAACACAAATTTGTGAGTTTTTACATACTTAATGGGGTGGCTGCAATGAATGATAAAAACTGCAGGTGAAGAGTTTCATCTCAGTAGGAGGGCCAAATGCTGGTCATTCTTCAACCTTTCCTTGCGGAGTAAGCAATGCAAATTAAAGCTGCACACATTTGTTATTGATAGAGTTCTAGCTAACACATACAATATAATCAAAAATAAAACAACATTGATTAATTATTGTCACAATTTTTTATTCAATGTGCAGAAATTTCCCTGGTGCGGAACGATTGGGCAATATTATGAAAAGGGAGTATACACTCCCGATACTCAAGTAATTAATAACAAGCTAGATTTTAGATATATACATAATACTCGACCTCAACGGGACGCTCACTCAGGAATTTGTTCCGTCGGAGTGTTTATATATATATATATATATATATATATATATATATATAGAATCGCACTCAGGTGCGAATGCTTCGCCCAGGCGCGAAATAGGAATGAATTCTGTTCGTCCACGTGTCCAGATCTAATGGATGAGAAACACTGATTTTTTTAAAAAAACGCAGTGGCATTTTCGTAAATAATTGAACATCGAAGTGCAAGTAAAATGTATTACAAGTGCATGTAAAATGTATTATAGGTGCAAGTAAAAATATACACTGAGCATCAATACTTAGTTGCACCTATAGTTCTAAGTAGTTGCACCTAGGTGTATGAATGTTTGCGAGTGGTTTTCAGGGGTATTACTACCCGTTGAACTCAGATCAATAAATGTTAACAAGGCAAAATTACATGCACTTATAGGTGAAAGTAGGTGCACCTATAGTTATAAATAGTGGCACCTATAGTTATAAATAGTTGCACACTTAGTTATAAGCACACCCAGGTGCATGAATGTTTGCAGAAAGTGAATGCTAACAAGGCAAAATTACATGCACATATAGGTGAAAGTAGGTGCACCTATAGTTATAAGTAGTTGCACCTATAGTTATAAATAGTTGCACATATAGTTATAAGCACACCCAGGTGCTTGAATGTTTGCGGAAAGTGAATGCTAACAAGGCAAAATTACATGCACTTATAGGTGAAAGTAGGTGCACTTGTAAGTGATTTTACTTGCACTTCGATGTTCAATTATTTACGAAAATGTCACCGCATTTTTTTTTAAGTTATTAGATCTGGACACGTGTCGCGCGCTGATTCGTTCGCATTTTCGTCCTGAGCACTTATTCGCACCTGAGTCCATCCCTATATATATATATATATATATATATATATATATATATATATATATATATATATATATATATATATATATATATATATAATTAAATGACGGGATCACTTCTTCATCATTGGTAAATACACACAAGTTATTAACGAATACACACAGACTAGATTGTATGCGATTCATCAGCATAAATACATACAATCTACCATGTGTGCATGTATGTATTCGTATAGTAACTTGTGTAAATTTTAGGGTTGTAAAAATCGGTCTAGGTGCCCGCCTAGACGCTAGGCGCCTCTAGACCGAGGCGATTTCCCCCCTAGGCGCCCGCCTAGGTTACCGGCCGCCTAGGCGTCCGCCTAGCGCCTAACTCGGCCGATTTGGCCGCCTAACGTCTAAGTTAGTCGAGTTAACTCGTCCATTTCGGTCGAGTTAACCCGATCGGCTCGCCCTATTTTTTTATTATATATATGTGTGTGTGCGCGTGCGCAGGCATATATATATATATATATATATATATATATATATATATATATATATATATATATATATATATATATATATATATATATATATATACATACACACACACACACACTCGTAGACTAGTTTGATACATTGAATCTTTGGATGATTGAAGTATTTGAGTATTTCATATTTGAGTACTTTTAATTTTTAATACTGTTTTGATATTTTTTTTTTGAAAATCATTGTTTTGATGTTATGACTTATGAATTATCATTAATTCATTTATTTGGATGTGTTATTTGAATAAATGTCGAAAACAACCTCATTAAAATTGTCAAACTGCAAGTCTACCACTATTTTTTTGGCGCCCGCCTAGATTCCGCCTAGGCGCTAGGCGCTGTCCGGGCGCCCGACTAGCGCCTAACGCCTACTGCAACCATGGTAAATTTACAAAGATTCTAACGTAAATAGGTGAATAACTGAATACACTTGAACATTAGTGTGTGTGTGTGTATATATATATATATATATATATATATATATATATATATATATATATATATAGTAATAACTAGTATTTTCACCCGTGCGATGCACGGAATGAAATTGTTGTAATATATTAAGAATATTTAAATTGATAAAGAGTTAATTTCACCAGAGGTCACTTATCTTTCATGACAATTCCAAATTTAATCCTAGACTATAGTTATTAATTATACGATTTATTCTATGTTATAATTCTTACGTTAATATTCTTACTATTATTATTAACACTTAATTACTTTTCAATATTATTTTCACCACTTATATTATTATTATTATTATTATTATTATTATTATTATTATTATTATTATTATTATTATTTAGTTTCTTTTCAAGTTTTGTTAGTATAAAATGGCCGTGAGGCACACAATAATAACGTAACCATAATTAAATATTCTTGTATTGTATTCCGTGAGTCACAATAATAATATAACAATAATTAAATATTTTTCAATTCTAATATTCTTCTAGAATTTCTATTACCATCATTAATTATTCTCTAATTTACCATAATTAAATAATTTGACCAATTATAAAGAGAGATTATCAAATAATGCACGGGACAATTTTTTAATTAAAAAATTTAAAAATTCATTAATAAAACATAAGGTTCTCATAGTTTTTTCTTAGAAACTATTTAATAAAACATTTTTTTTAGAAATTGGTGGGCCAAACCGCCTACGGCAGTTTGCGGTGGATAAATCTCGAAAAAATACGCGATTTCAAAAAAATATTTGTCCAAAACGGAAAACCGAGTCAAAAGTTATGCCTTGCCGAACTTTTGACATATCACAACTTTAACCCAGAATTATTGTATGAATGAGAAAGTAGAAATCAATATATTTTATTGGGAAGAGCGATTTTTTAGGAATTTGGCGGGAAGTTAAAATTCCAGTATTTTGTTATTATATATAGTATAGAAGTATAGAAGTATAGATGTACAAAGGGAATTGTATTACACTATTTTAGAATAGAATTTTTACCCAGAATTATTAGACGAATGGGAAAGTAGAAATCAATATATTTTATTGGGAAGAGAGATTTTTTAGGAATTGGGCGGGAAGTTAAAATTCCAGGATTTTGTTATTATATATAGTATAGATTAAATGATGGGTTCACTTCTTCATTGTTGGTAAATACACACAAGTTATTAAGGAATACATGCACACTAGATTGTATGCGATTCGTCAGCATAAATACATACAATCTACCATGTGTGTATGTATGTATTCGTTATAGTAACTTGTGTGAATTTACAAAGATTCTAACGTAAATAGGTGAATACACTTGAACATTAGTATATGTATATATATATATATATATATATATATATATATATATAGCGTGTGTGCGCATATTTTATTTTTCCATCAATTCATTGGTTTGCTATTGCGGTTAGTTTTCTGTATCTTTGTTGAAATGCAGGATCACTTGGCTCCTAGTGGCTATATCAAGATTCCAAATGTAAGTAAGATCGACAAGATAGCTAGAGAAAAATGCAAACGTACCTTAAAATTAATAAACTTTCTTGAATTGCACGTAGCGAGCTTGTGTTGTCTTACTTGTCAGGATATGAAGGGATACTTGTCAGGCTGCAGATTTCTGCCAAAGATAAACAACGAAGTCCAAGACGATCAAAGTGCAATCCGCAAGAAAAGATTCACTAGCCTCACACTACTTGTTCTCATCTTGGTATGTATATATTGTTAGATATAAATGTAGTCTCACGTTATCTAATAAAATTTACAAGAAATCTAATTAACCTCATAGTAGTGGAAACAATGTTGTTCTCTGGCCATAATTGATCTCCTCTCAGTTGTGGTGCTTCTTGAAGCGTTCATTAACTCGTTTTGTCGCATTATATACTTAACTCAGAATCTTGATCGATATATTAGTATTATTCTAAGCAACCTGAGTACCATAATTTCTTATATAATGTATATTCTCTATCTCATCAATATCTGACTGACTAAGAAATTTTAGTTATTTTGTTTAACCAAACTACTTAATAAGACTAATCAACTTGGACACACACACACATATATATATACCAGAGATCAAATGCACATCAAACATGTGGATTAATCATAGCTATTGATTTTGTCAAAATCAATAGCCTAAAATGAAGATAAATTTAAAAAAGAGTTAATGCCATATGGGTCCTCCGAGTATAGTGGTTTTGTCACGTTTAGTCCTAAACTTTCAAATTAACCACATTGGTCCTTCGACTTTCTAATTGTTACCATCAGTGGTCCAAGTTAGCCATCCATAGTCCTTCAATTTTCAAAATTTAACCAACCGCGATGCTCTTGGAAAGACTATGGGTGGTTAAAATTTGATAGTTGAAGGACCATAAGTAGTTACTTTGGACCACGGGTGGTAATAATTTGAAAGTTGAAGGACCACGAGTGGTCAATTTGAAAGTTTAGGGCTAAACATGGAAAAACCACTATACTCGGAGGACCCCATATGGTATTAACTCATTAAAAAATAAAAAAACACAGTGGCATTAAGGAAATTTTGCATATTGTTGAAAGCTTAAGGCGCATATTTTCAAATCGTAAGGTACATCATTTTTAGACATAAGATGCGTCATTTTAACACTTAAGGTGCGTATGCTCAATACTTGAAAGCATAAGGTGCGTAATTGTAAAAAGTTAAGGTGCGTATTTTTAAAGTTTAAGTTGCGTCGTTTTAATACTTAATAAGGTGCACCATTTTAACACTTACAGGGCGTTTGGTTGGAGGGATTTTAAATTCCCTTCCCACTTAATTCCCATCTAATTCCAAAGACCATTAAATTCCGTAGTTTGGTTGGAGGGAATTGCAATTCCATGGAATTGCAATTCCCTCATTTTCATGGAATTAAAATCCCATGTCCCCCCCTGGTATTTTAATTCCTGGGAAAAAAAGATAGTGATGAGTTAAAATTACCCCTTCCTTTTTTAACCTAAAATTAATGTCTAACAACAATAATGGACATTTTTGACTTTATACTACTTATTCCCTTTCAATTCCCATGTATACCAAACATTGGAATTGAAATTCCCAGTAATTTTATTCCTGTCAACCAAACACTGGAATTTAAATTCCCACTTTATTCCCAGTAATTGAACTCCCATGGAATTACAATTCCTTTCCCACATAATTCCCCCCTCCAACCAAACGCCCTGTTAAGGTGCGTTAGTTCTACACTTAAGTGCATTAGTTCTACACTTAAGGTGCGTCATTTTAACACTTAAGGTATGTCATTTTAACACTTACAGCATGTTCGGTTCACGGAATGAATTTTGAGGTAATAGGAATGTTGTTCCATAAGGAATGGAATAGACAAGGAATAGAATAGGAATTATATTATATTGTTTGGTTCGCGGAAGGAATAGACTTTAGGATTACATTAAAGTGTTGGGTTGATTTAAGGAATAAAAATGAAATATGTTTTAAAGACATAAATACCCTTATAAAAATATGTGATGGTGGCGATGGTGGTGGTGGCAGTGACGTTGGTGGTGGCGGCGGCTGTGGTGGTGCTGGTGGCGGCGGCGGCGGTGATAGTGGTGGTGCTAGGGTGGTGGTAGCGGCAGTAGCGGTAGTGAAATAGGAAATAAATTTAATTGGGGGGTAAAATAGGAAATAGAAACTTTAGGCTATTCCAGAGAACTCAGGAATAGCCTAATACCAGGGGCCCCCGAGGAATCTCTATTCCCCTTACAAGGGGAATAGGTCATTCCCGGGAACAATGTTCCTGGGAATACAAGGGGTTACCAAACAGAGGAATAGGCCGGGAATGCTATGTCATTTCAGGCCTATTCCGTGAACCAAACAGCCCATTAAGGTGCGTCACGTCATTTTTAACACTGAAGTTACGTCATTTTAACACTTAAATGCGCCATTTTAACAATTGTGTAAAAATGTTAACACTGAAGGTATGCCCTTTTAACAATTAAGGTGCATCAATTCAACACTTAAAGGTACGTTGAATCAGTTAACAATGGTATGTCGAGACTGAATCAATTCCCATGAACGAAGAGCGTTTGTTTTTTTGGTTTTTTTTTCATTAATTTGAATCATTGATTTAGATTTGAACTATCTCTCTCTCTCTCTCTCTCTATATATATATATATATATATGATTTTTTTCTTTGACTCAATCTCACACAAGGTCAACCCATACACATGTTTGGTTTCATTGAATTCACGAAAACTTAATTGCCCGCAGTTTCAAGCTGATACAATTATCATGCCACAAATAAGTTCTCACTTCGGCTATTATCCAGATGGGGATTTCTCCGCGCCTGTGCCTGTACAGAAGGTATATATGTACACTTCATTAGCTTGTGTTGTTTTAGTGCACGCAGATTAATTAAGAAGTTGTGATTTTTGTTGCAGACTCAAGTTTACATAAAGGACACTTTCGGTTTTAGAACATTGGATGAAGCAGGAAAAGTTAAGTTCTTCAAGGTGCCTGGCGCTCACCTTGTAATAACTGTTGATGAAATTAAACGGTATATTGTTCCATACATGAAATGATAGGATGCATCACTAGCATGAACCAGGAGGATCTGTGGGCGCATCCATTCTTTAAAATACTCTATAATTATTATCCATATACAATAAATTAATCTTCTTATATCATGTTATTTATCCATTTTATACAACACGCACTTTCTTCATTTTTGATGATACGAAATAAAATAGTTTAGAATATATAATTTCCCTTTATTATTTTGTTGTTGTTGTTATTATCGTCGTTGTTGTCATCATCATTATTAGGATTTAGTGGTGCTCAGACTTAAACAGAGAGAAAAAAGGAAAAGAATGTGTAATAATAATCTGCCTTCCCAAAGGGAACAAATGAAGGTTTAAATTCCTTTCAAAAAAATGAAGGTTTATATACTGTAAGGACGCAACAATCTTCCTCAGTTTAGCCACAGGATTAGCGAAAAGAAAGCATCATGAGCTTAAATAAAGGTAGACACGTTCCCACAACTCTGTAGAATAAATTACGGATAAGAAAGATTGATCCAAAAAAATAGGAATTGGAGAAACTAATTGGTGACTAAACAGTGGAACGTTATGTTGTGCAACAGTGTGCACCTTGCATAATTTCTATACTATAGATTCATAATTTTTAAACCGTAGATTCATACTGTAAGGACTCGCTCCACGCAAGGACCTGGCCCCTTGGGGAAGCACGGGGCTCGGCCAAGGGGCCGACCATGGGCTCGGCCGATCCCATGGGGCCGAGGCCGAGCCCATGGAGGCCGGCTCGACGGTGAGCCGACCCCATGTTGGGCCGATCCCGGGGTGGTTTGTCACGCGTCGCGGGTAACCTGTTGATGTCGGGTTCGACCCGCTCCTATTGCTTCGCTCCAAACCCGCTCCGTGATTATTCCATCATCAGTCCCCCACTCTCGGGGCTGCGAGAAGTTGTCAGAGCGAGAGAGTAAGACCAAATTAATAATCGCGGGGCTCCAAATTGCGTTCCAAAAATTATAATTCGCGTTCAGGTAGAATTTTCATCGCGATAGGACTCTCAATCAGACTGAAATTCAAAAATATGCTCATCCTTATTAGCTCATGAATCCTCATCCTACCATAACACTTCAACTTCCCCCCATAAATATCCCCTCAATCTTCCAAACCCAACTCCGCACTCAAAAGTCACATCCCTTTCTCTTCCCAAAGTTTCCCCCTTCCCAACACTCCTTGAGTTTCAAAAATGTCAACCCCCTTTCCCCCTCTTTTCTTTTACCCCCTCCTCTATATAAAGTAGCTTCCTCCCCCTCACTTTCTTCACCAAAAAATCAGCCACACACTCCACCTCAAATCTGAAATTTTAGCTCTCCTCTCCCCAAAATTTCTGCCCGCCACTGTCCGCCGTCAACCGCCATTCCGCCGCCGTCGCCAAGTTGCCACCGCCGACCCCGTCCAGCGCCGCAGACGAACCGAGCCCACATCGCCGAGTCCAAGCCCACACCCGGCCGAGCCCCCGTTTCCGAGTTCCCCAACCGAGCCCTCTTTGTCCGTCTCCTCCTTGCTCGTGTCGGGTGAATTTCGTTGCAAACCCTCTTTAGAGTTTCGTTGCACTCCGTAATTTCCAAGCTAGTTTTATGCATTTAGTACCTCTCGTCGGGGATGCACACTCCGTAGCTTTAGCCTTACCATTTGATTTGTGTACCATCTTGGACTCTATTGACTACACGGACCTCTCGCCAAGTGATGACGAGTCCATTGATCTAGATCAGTTTCCCTCCCCTTACATTGAGGATTATTACCTTGAGTACCCCTATATTCCCCCATTAGCTATGCATCCCCCTTACATGACACTCCTACGCCTCTTCCAGATCCCTTCCCCGTGAGTTGGTACATCGTGCTTGACTCCGCCATCCCCCAGGGATTCGGGTCATCTTTGACTCCCCGTTCCACCCCCGGGGACGAGTATATTGGAGCCCCCGGGGGCAAACTTTTTCAGTGTCCACGTTACGTCCCTTTTGATGGGTTTAGCCTTCCCACTTCACCCATTTGTTGTTGAGGTCTTGAACTTTCACCGTGTCTCCGTGGGCTAGCTAGTCCCCAACTCTCATCGGGTGTTAGCTGCTTTCATCGTCCGGTGTGTCGAGGTGGGTATACGCCCCAACCTTGACCTCTTTTACTCGTTCTTCCTTGCGATCGGCTCGTCATCTAAGGAGAACAAGGGTTACATGGCGTTCTCGACTCGGGCGAGGGCAAAGGTTTTAGGTAGCGTACGAGATTTCAACAAGGGTTGGAAACCCCGGTTCGTGTTCATCTCTACAGGCGCGTCGCTCCCTTTTGAGGTCCCTTGGGGGGGGGGGGTACTTCCGTAAGTGCCCGCGGCCGGCGTCTACCCCGGAGCTCACTGCTCAAGCCCGGCTGTTCTTGGGCAAGGCAGGCGGCTTGCTTGACTCCCGGGCCCTTGTCGCGCACGAGGCTCTAGTCGCAGCCGATTTCGTTCGCGATCACCCCCCACGCGATCCCTCCCCTTCACACTTTGCGGAGGAGACCGAGGAGGACCCTTCGAGCGAGGATTCGGATGACGACGTCGTCGAGCTGCCGGCCGGGACTTCGCCACCTTCCTCCGCTAGCTCCGATCACCATGGTTCGTTACCCCGTTGATGTGCCCCCGATTGTGATCCTTCGTGAGGTGCTTATAGATTGTTTTATTTTGATACAGATACGTCTTCCTCGCGCTCCGCCATTTTTGACGTTGTCCGGAGCTTGAGGAGCCGCGGCGGTGAGGACCCCAAGCGCCGGAAGACCGGGGAGACCAGCCGCGCTTCATCGGGTACCCGAGTATCACGCTGCCGCGAGACGATACCTGCCCCAGATACGGGCATCCAACCTACAGGTCAACCGGCCGACCCCAGGGGCCGAGCTCCGGTGCCTCCACCTCCTTCCCATGGTGTACAGGCTGAGTGGTCTGCGCCCCCTTCCTATGGCGCACCGGCTGAGTGGTACGTTCATCTCCCCCGCACGGCCTCGATCTTTTGTGGGGACGTTCCTTCAGAGGCTTTCATGCGCAGCCTCCGCCTACCCCGCGACGAGGAGCTGCATGAGGACCACGCCGTCCTTCGACCTTTGCTAGAGGTATGTGTTTATTGCTTTTGGTGATTGTATGCTATGTTTTCCTGTCCTTTGGTATCTTATCCTTTGTTTCATGTTTGCCATCGTGTAGACTGTCGCCCGAGTCGTGACCATGGAGGGTGTTTTGGGGAACACCCGGACTCAGGTAGAGGCCACCCGGACCTAGTTGGAGACCGAGACGAGGGCTTGCGCCAAGCTTGAGGGGGCGCACAAGATCGTGAGTGACAAGCTCGCGGTGCTGGAAGGTCAGTATGCCGAGTTGATTGCTAGCGGGAGCGCATGGCGCAACAGGAGGCTTTGAAGGCGCACCAGGAAACTGCGAGGGTAGCTGTGTCGAGCTACAAGGGTTCCAAGGCGTTTGTCCAGGATGTGAGGGCCTATCTCGCCGAGCATGTGGAGGAGACCCTGGAGGACCTCATGAAGCTTCCCAAGGGGAAGGAGTGCATGACTTTGCAGGGGTTGTCGATGTATGATGCGGGGGAGTTCTCGATGCAACAAAAGATCTACCCCGTTCTTCACGCTAGAGATGCGTCCTTCGACCCTGCGGCGTGGGGTCTCCCTGAGGAGTTAGAGAGTTTTGAGTCTCCAGCCGACCCCATGGATGTGGCCGAGGAGGATGGTGGTCCGGCCTCCACACGAGACTCGGCGGTCGACCGTTCGTCGAGCGGGGACTTTGCAGTCGACCTTCTTGGAGCAGGCTCATGTCCCCTTAGAGCAGGCTCACGTCGATCCAGCTGATGCCGCGAGTGGCGGGGCGGATGTCCCCGGGACCCAGCAGCCTTGACTTATGTTGATTGTTTTGGAGTTGTACGGTGGACCCTTACTTTTGCTTAGTTGTTTTGCATATACTGTTTCCTCCATTTGCATGAATTGTTGTTATTTTGTTGTGCGGGCTGCTGCTTTCTTTTGTTGCACCAAACTACTAGCTTCGTAATGACATCGCTTGCTTACTTCGTTTTATGCTTATGTTCTTCTCTTGCTTCGTCTGTTTACTCCTTTGTGTGATTTGCTTTTCGCCTGTAGGTGTCCCCGGGGGGCTTACAGCCTTATTGCGACCGACCGCCACGCTTGCTCTCCCGCTGAACCGAGCCCGGCAACCCACGGGTTGGCCGGTCGACCCCCCCCCCCCCCCCGGGTCGGCCGAGCTCGGCCACTTGCGGGGTCGGTCGAGCTCGTCCCCACTGCACTTATACATAATTCATTGTTTTTTTCTATATATATATTTTTTTATTTTTTCGATGCGTTGCCCGTTCGACGATAGACGAGGTCGAACCTCGTACTGCCCCTAGGGTACCGAGATTGCATTATGCCCGTTCGGCGATAGGCGAGGTCGAGCCTCGTACCACCCTAACACCCTTAGGACGTTTTAGCGATTCTTGGGCTGGAGTCCTTTGACTCGCACCCCGAATCCTTCCGTTCGGCGGTAGTCGGGGTCGGACCTCGTACCGCCCCTAGGGTGTCAAGATTGCGTTACGCCCGTTCGGCGATAGGCGAGGTTGGACCTCGTACCGCCCTTGGGACGTCTTAGCGATTCCGGGGTTGGAGACCTTTGACTCGCACCCCGAATCCTTCCGTTCGACGGTAGGCGAGGTCGGACCTCGTACCGCCCTTAGTACGTCTTAGCGATTCTGGGGTTGCAGTCCTTTGACTCGCATCCTGAATCCTTCCGTTCGGCGGTAGGCGAGGTCGGACCTCGTACCGCCCCTAGGGTGTCACGATTGCATTTAAGCTGGCCGTCGCGGTTGCACACGCGGCCGCCTTCCCGGGATGGCCGACCTCGGGGCGGCTGACCCTGCGTCGGCCGACCCCGTGTCTACCGACCCCGAGGAGGCCGGCCCCGTGGTGCCCGACCTCGCTTGCACCCGTACTCTTTCTCAACCCGAGGTAAGATAATTGCACAACGAAATTCATTATTCCACTACGATAAAAACAAACATTATTGGGGGGTCGGGCCGCCTTACAAATGCGCTCCTACTGGTAAAATTTTAGCAAGTGCTCTGAGTTCCACACCCTGTCCACCGTCTTGCCCGATGGGTCCTCAATTTGTAGCTGCCCGGGCGTACAATGGCTTCGACCATATATGGTCCTTCCCACTTCTTGGCGAACTTGCCTCCGTCCTGGGGTCGGCTTGCCTCTCTCCTCCGGAGGACGTAATCGCCGAACTGAAAGTAGTGAGGTCGGACGATGTTGTCGTGGTATGCCTTTGTCTGGCGCTGGTAATTTTTCGCGCGAATCATGGAGTCCTCTCTTCTATCATCGATGAGGTGGAGGTCGGCGGCGTGGTGCTCCTCATTGAGGTCAGGGTCGTACACTTCGACCCGAAAGGATGGTATCGCGGCTTCGGCGGGGGCCCGTGCTTCGAACCCGTATGCTAGCACAAATGGTGTATCCCCGGTGGCTCTTCTCGGGGTGGTGCGGTATGCCCATAGGACGGTGTCCAACTCCTCCACCCATATACCTCCAGCTGCGTCCAGGTTCTTTTATATACCATCCACTATAGTTCTTTTGGCGTTCTCCACCTGTCCGTTTGCCTGCAGGTACGCCACCGCCACGCGGGTGTGTTTTATGTACCATTGGTCGCAGAACTCATTGAATTCTTTACTCTCAAATTGACGTCCATTGTCGGAGATGATTTGCATGAGGACTCCAAAATGGTACAAGATGTTCTTTCGTACGTAATCCTTGCACCGGGTGCTTGTGATAGTAGCAAGGAGCTCGACTTCGACCCACTTTGTAAAATAATCTATGGCGACTATTATGTACTTCCTCTTCGCGGACCCAATGAGTAGGGCCCCGACTATGTCGATTCCCCACCTTGAGAATGGGATCATCGTGCTGATAGGCGTGTAACTAGTTACTGGCCGACCCGGTTCCGCGTGAAAGTGCTGGCAGGTCGAACACTCCCGGGCGTACTCTGCGCACTCCTTGGCCATATTTGGCCAAAAGTACCCTTGCAATAGGTCCCTCCTTGCCATGGTGAAGGCTCCTTGGTGTGCTGCGCAGGTGCCCTCATGTATCTCCTCCTTGACGGATTTGGCTTCGTCTGGGTATAAACATCGGAGGAGGGCGCCGTTGTAAGACCTTTTGTAGAGGGTGTCGCCAAGGAGGACATATATTGGCGACCTCCTCTTGACTGCCTTGGCCTCCCAGCTGGACCTCTGGAGGTCTTCAATCCGTGTTATCTTAGAGACATGCTCCGGGGCACTGGGGCCGAGCTTGGAGAGCAAGTCCACGTCCCTGTTTTGACTTCTGGGTGCCTGCAAAATTTCGTAGAGGATCAATTGACCTAGGACCTGGAGTACCACATTGCGGTATCTCCTCATCCTCTCCTCGTTGGTTTCGAACTCGCCGGTCACCTGTTCGACCACCAGGAAGTAATGGACGAGCTTCTTGGCCGTGGCGTCCACGGCGAAGATTGCTCTCTCCGTGGGTGAGTACCTGAGCTCTGCGCCTCGGAGGGCTCGGCTCACGTAGTACACCGGTTGTCGGGTCCCCTCGTCATCCCGAACCAGCACGGAGCTGATCGCGGCTTGCGAGATGCCCAAGTACAGATATAGGGCCTCCCCTTTCTCCGGTTTGGCCAGGGGGGCAACGACATGAGGTACGCCTTAAGAACGAAAAGTGAGTATGACCAACACTTGAGTACAAATTCTACAATTATCCTATAACTTAGGGATGAAAAGTGCAATTTTTTCTTATTATCATTATTTCTCTTAAATATCCCTATATTCCGTCATCTTATATTCTCTTAAGTGGGCGTTTGGTTCGAGTTATCTAAGATAACAAGGGTTATCTTTAGCTGGTTATATGACATTCATGTGTTTGGTTGAAATTATAAAATATTCTCATGAAATAAGATTTAAGCTCCATATCAACATTTTCCTTATTTTGAAGGGGATGTGATTCTCCTATTTCCTTAGGTAATGTTTCATTCACTCTTTTACAAACTTTGTCCTTGATATCCTTGGTTTCTCTCTCACATTTATTTTTGCATTCTTATTGATTTCCATTCTACCTAGTATAAGAATTGGTTCTTTTGCGGTGAAAGTTAATATGAAATTGAAGTGCATCACACATATTCAGTATTGCAGTGAAAGTTAATATAAGAATGAGTTCTTGCATTCAAAAAAAAAAAAAAAAAAAGAATGAGTTCTTTTGCAATGAAAGTTAATATAAAATTGGGAAAAGAGTCAAATAGGCCCTCGAACTTTGGCTTAAAAGTCAATTAGGCCCCTAAATTTTTTAAAGGTGAAATTACACCCATCAACAATTCATTTAGGTGCAATGTAGCCCAAAAACAAGTTAATGACCTGCTATCACATGTCATTAGAGTTCAGTCCATATTCCGGTGATTTTGCTGACAAAAAAAAGTGACCGGCGAAATTTCTGACAAAAAAAGTGATCGGAAATTTCGTCGGTCGCCGGACACATTTTTGTCAGAAATTTCGCCAGTCAATTTTTTTTTTTTTTGCCGGAAAATTCGTCAGAAGGTGACCTGAACCCTAATGACCTGTGATAGCAGGTCATTAACTTGTTTTTGAGCTTCATTGTACCTAAATGAATTGTTGATGGGTGTAATTGCACCTTTAAAAAGTTTAGGGACCTAATTGATTTTTAAGTCAAAATTCGAGAGCCTATTTGATATTTTCCCTATAAAATTTTTGAACTAAATATATTAAAATGCATGAAAAATGTTGAGGGTATTAAAGTAAAATCTCCGGGCAACCTTGTGGAATCGAGCGGGTAACCTTGTGTCGGCATCCCGGCATTCCATCGTCGAATCAGCAACGTCGCTCCCTGCATTCCATCCGCCTCTGCCGACTACCCAACAATATTAGGTTTTATATGGTTTACTTAGTTCAATTGGAACAGCTAACCTTGTGTGGGAGAAGGAATAGATAGGGGATGTAAGTTTGATGTCTCTACTCCATTCCGTAGATTGGTTTCATATTCTGCAATTTCTATTTTTTATTTTTTTAAATTTTAGTACACTGCATTTCTTAATTCAATGAAGTCACTGCGATACTTTTTTCTTTGGATTTGGTTAATTAGGAATTTAGGATTATTCAGTTGTAGATAACTGGGCAACTCCAATTGCCTTGTCTTTTTGCTTTTTCTTCCTCTTTAATATTTTCAACCTGTGCATTCTAATTTTCTGGTTTTGTTTATGTAATGCTGTGTTTATTACAGAGCATCATTTTACTTTTCCCTGTTTGATGGTTCTTATGAATGCTTCTGTAGGTAGTGATGAGGATAAGTCCTTGACAGGATTGCTTGATATGTCTAGGGCTAATTTTTGTGCATTTTACTTTTCCATGTTTGATGGTTCTGTTCAGTTTTAACAGTGCAGATGTTTTCACATCATAGCATATCTTCAAAGGCTTGCTCAAATGCTCATGAAAGTTACTTTGAGCGCTTGTGTTTCTGATATGAGTGTAATGGGGTGATTGCCCAATGAACTAATACCCACAGTATTACATACCCACTTGATTAATATCACGATTGGTATACCTTGCGTGTATATGTACTCCTGTTTGGATCTAAGTTCAGAAGTGGATCAAGATTTGAAATTTTTTAAGTGGTCCAATGACCGCGAGAATGCGTGTTTTTTTTTTTTTTTTCCTTTTCTAAATTTTGATTTTAATTTATTTCTTTGCAAATTTGATTATGAGGATTTCCTTGCTTGGGTATTTACCTTATTGATCTATTGGCAGGCGATCGAGTAAAATACGTTGGACCTTCTGTTATTGTTGAAGCTGATAAGAGGTTACTACTTTCACTTTGCACATAATACAAGCAGCTGTATCAAACTAAAGTCGAAGTATTAAAAATGTGTTCATTCTTTTATCATTTTGTGGTTATCTTTTTCAATGGATTAATAGTTAACAGCAATATAGCAGTGTTGCTTGTTTAGTGCTAGCGAACTTTTCTCCTATCTTTTTCATTTAATCTGTTTGCTAGAAATGATGCCTATTAGGGGTAAATGGTGAGAAAATGAATTAAAGATGCTTTAAACATGTTTAGCTTAGATCTACAGATGCACATGATAGAGAGAGCTATAGCATGGAAATTATAGGAGAAGTTGAGAGAGAAATAGGTGGATGGATATGATACTTGGATTGATGTTTTAGAGAAATATATACAATCTGAAGGGCTAATAGTAGTGCTTAATGTAATTAAATTGGAAATAGAATACATTTATACATTTAGTTAAGATCCTAGCTAGCTATTGGGCCTTCTAATTTTGGGTGCTTAACTATAATATCAGGAGTAATGACAGCAAATTTTATCCATGTTCTGTTAATCCCCTCTTTTCCATTACATGCTGCACTAGCACCACCCTTGAAATCATTTAGGCTTTGTTCTTTTCTTTGATTTATTTAGTTTGATTGCTGAAATTGTTGGGGCATATTTTTACATCCTATTCGGGCATTATTGTAGTCAATTATGCTTAAATAGTTAAATGGCTATGAGGCAAACATATATGCCACTTTTGGTTTTGCAGCAACTGAAGAAAAGTAAGGATCCAAGATGGAATAAGGAGTTCAGTTTTATGAACAAACACGTATATAAGAGCAAATCGCTCACAAAACATTTCTGCGGCAGAAATTGCTCAGAAACATTTCTGCAGCTTATATATAAGTATATAAGAAAGTGGAGTTTAGTTTTTGTATGTATATGTTGCCTTTAAATAAAACACCAAAGTGCTTACTATGTGGACAATTTCATACATTGCATATCAGGAATAGTAGTTTTAGCTATTAAATATGTGTGCATGTATGAAGTATTTCCAATGCAAAATTCCTATCCATTATAGACTTTTAGGTTGAGACGTTGAGCTACTGCAACAAAAATTGGAATAACCATTAACAGCTTTAGGGTGCTGCAAATCACCTTGACCACTGACCACCATGCACTACTTATGAACAGACAAGAGAGTCATGCACAAATTTAAAAATCAGGGTTATCTAGGCGTCGCCTAGGCGTCCGGTCGGTCAAGACCGAACGCCTAATGTGCTCGCCTCGCCTAAGTATAGAATACAACCCAAAACTCCACAAAACATACATGGGCAGAACCTACACACTAAGGTGATTTGACCGGTGTAATTTTCAGCCGGAGAGGTCGCCGGAATCTGCCTCACGCGCCGGCGCGTGGTGTCGGAGCAGCGGCACAGCGGCGGCGTGTGGAGGCGCGTGGTGGCTCTGATGGCGGCGCGGTTCAAGCTCCGGCGTCGTCCTCCTGTTCCGAGCAAAACCTACTCCCTCACTCTGGCATGTTATCAATATATACTAGACTTCTCACCACCTTAGGAAAAACTATTCATCTTCTCAAGACAACTTAAGTAAATAGGGTTGTGAAAAGGCTGCCCAAGACAAGATATTTTCAATATACAATAAATACTAGACTTTTCACTATTCTAGGAAAAACTATTCATCTACTTGAAGTAAATATGCCAGCTAAAAGGCTGCCCAAGACAAGATATTTTCAATATATGTATACTTTTTATTTATTTAATACTCATCGCCTAGGCGGTCGCCTAGTCGACTAGTCGACTAGGCAGTCGGTGGCATCTCGCCTAGAAAGTCCGCCTTGATAACCTTGTTAAAAATACACATTGGGCATTGGTCTAATCGCGCGAAGCGCGTGTGGTAACTAGTAATATTAGTAAGCAAGAAATGAAAAAATGTGTTAACTACACTTAAGTTGATTCTGCTTTATGATTTATCATTATGATAAGTGTAATGGTGTTGCTAACTGATTTGTCACTCTATTTTTTTCAGATACAGTACACCACTACCACCTGCATGTTAAAGAATATTTTGTATAATTTTTTTACTGAAAGGAGTTTAATTGACTAAATAGGTATGTATTTTGCTGCCAGTGTAGATTAAAATTTCTTTTAATGTAATTAGTGGTGGACATTATACTTGCACATGGGCATCTAAGAAAAAGTATAGATTAGCATATACTTTTATCACACTAATCTTAAGGAGTTTACTTTTCAGATTGGATCTAATTGGAAGTTAGAAAACCTTCTAGTAGACCTAGAATATCTTCCAACAATTGAATATAAAGCTTCAATGATAAGGTAAATGATTATATTTAGTTATTTAAATTCTTTAATGATCAATGCATTGATATTACATCAATAAAATATTATGTTACATGACACATCCTTTACACTTTGAAGAGTACAAACTTTACAAAAGAGAATTGAAGTATTCCTAATACTTAGTTCTATCTGTTACAAAAAGTTGTGGAATAACTTCTAGTGGCACCTAAAGTGTTTTCTGTTGTATTTTAGAATTAAGTGTTGCATGTAAATAAGTATAGATTATCAATTGCAATGTGCTCATGAGTTAAAATGGATTGTAATTTCTGATTGTCAATGAGATTAATGCATAATAATTTTGTTTCTTTTTGAAGGGTTTTTTATTTTTATTTTTTAAATAAAAAAAAAAAGAAAAAATTAAGGGCTCATGATGTTGCACCTTATGAGCTAGACTAGATGAAATGAAGAAATAATTTGAATGTAGTTTAAGTGTTTAATATACTTGGAAATTTGTAGCCTGTTGAATCTGATTTTTATTTTTATTTTTACTTTTTGTACAATTTAATGCACATTTTATAGCTTAAAGCCAACTGTATAAAGATTAGTATGTTTCTTTGGTTAATCATAAGCTAACGTTTTGGAGCTAGATTTGTTGCAAGAAGAGTTTCTATTAACATCACGAGGTTCAAGTTTGCACAGAGGGCATTGTGTAGTAATGCAGGTGCAGAGCTACCTGGTTCTAACTGTGATCAAATTGTCAAGGTAATTTCTTTACTCTATTTAAGTAACATGCCACTTTATGATCTAGTCCTAGACTATAATGTATTGCTTCATCTGCAAAAAAGTAGAAGGGAAGTCAAACTGAAACCAGTCCAAAAAAGAAAAGAAAAAAATCCATAAAAGGAAAAAGAAAAACTGAAAAGTGAGTCAGTAACTAAAGTGCAACATGCTAGCCATCAAGGCAAAGCAAGAGTCTTTATTCAAAATCTGGTGATTGCAATGTTTGCAATTCGCAATTTGTAATTTCAATTTGACCATCTCTGTGCTGTCTGCCTATCACCAATTGTTAGCAGGTCTACATTACAGGTCAATACTTCCTTTTAGTATGTTTCATTTGTCAGCAATAGTGCAATCCCAAGATTACCTTTTCTATTTCATTAAAGCAGTCCTATCAATTGAACAAAGCTTTATTATTTTTCCTTTTCCTCCAAATGTGTCATCCAGAGTGTCTAGAAAACATAAGCCATCTCTTCTCCATTGTGCATGTACTAGTGGTGGGTTGAGAAAATGAGCAGAGGCCTGAATTCCCTATGTGTTAATCCATTTTCGAGGTTACTATCCATTGTAATTCCTTTGGCGTTGGTATAAGTTAGTATTACCTTAGTCAACAATATTGACTGTTTAAACTAGTTATGTGATATCTCATTGCATTCAGTGCCTTTTTATTGTATGGTGAAGTTGGTGGACCCAAACTAGATTGGGGTTAAGACTTTGTTATCTACTTATCTTTCAAGAGAAATGCATTCACAAAGTCAATTAGTTTTGAATTTTCAAATTTGTGTTCTTGGTCAATGATGTAGGAACCTCTGAACAAGCATGAGTTGATTGATAGTTCCGAACAATATGATATTGCTATTGTTGGAGGAGGCATGGTTGGCATGGCCTTAGCTTGTTCGCTAGGTAATGTTTTTCTCTCTCTCTGACTCCCCTTCAGAAGTATGAAGTATACAGTGATTCTCTTCTATATTTAGGTATTTATTATTCCATCCATATAAGTTCACCGCCATTTCTCACCAACCAAATGTGACTTTGTAATGCGTATCAGGCAGCAAAGTTTGAGTTTTGAATCCCTGTGGCATGCATTATTCAACATGGATAATCTGATGTTGGCATTGTTTTTATTATTATTATTATTATTATTTATATATATATATATATATATATATATATATATATATATATATATATATATATATATATATTTTCTTTTCTTCCCTGAGAATAAAACTCTAAAGCACATAGATTCTGAAGAATAAAGAGTTTTCAAGATCATCTAAAATCTTTCCCCTAAAGAAATAGGGATTGTGATTGGCTGTGATGTTCCTTTAATTATGTAATCCAAAAAAACCTTCACTTTATTTCCAATATATTAGTAAATTTGTCTAAGATTTTAAAATATGCTTGCAGCAAGTACGCCATTGACAAGGCAGCTAAATGTGGCTATAATTGATAGCAATCCTGCATTACAGAATTCTGATTTGCTGAAAAAGGAAGGCCCCCCTGATCCAAGAGTCAGTACAGTCACACCTGCAACTATATCCTTTTACAGAGGTATTACTATACTTTGGCATAGCCATTCTGAGGTGTGCGTTGGGTGCGGGTGGGGAAGGGGTGAGCTATTCTTAAATTCTCAGGAATAGCTATGTTTTCCCAATACCAAATATGCCCACACACATATTAATAGTTTAGTGGGGAGACTTCCAGTGTGCTTCTTTCATGACATGCTATAGTCCTGGGTGTCTTCCAGTGGTCTTCTAGCCTTAGAAGAAGTCGTGTCCGCCCCGGGCATCTGCAACGTCCTCCTTTGATATTCTAGCCTTCACTCAATTTTAAAATTTTCTCTTCTCTCTAGGAAACTGTTTTAATTGTTGCCATAGATGTAATTGATTGCAGATATGGATGTATGATTGTATGGTATTATTTACCCCATTCAACTTTAACTTTTTTTTTTTTGATTAATAAATGTGCCTCTCAATCATTCAAAATCCTGAATCTGCCTCTACATGTGGGGGGTGGGGGTGCAATGCTGATAGAGCTTGTTAGTTTTGGGTAGAAAACTATTACTTGCATAAGGTCATTTCTGCTCTCAAGGAAACGGTTTTAATTTTACCTTAGAAGTAAACTGTTGTTCATTGTAGATGTGGGTGCGTGGCAACATGTCCAACAACATCGTCATGCTTTTTTTGATAAGATGCAGGTAAGCAATTTCCTTGTTTCCTTAATAATCCACTTAAGTTTTGTCAGAGAACTTGTAAACTCTACTATGGAAGTATGAATCTTATTTCTACAGATATATATGTTATCATCTCTGCCATTCTTATCAGATTTATATCCTATTGTCTCATAGGAATTTCGGAGGTTTTTCTTGTTGTTTCATCATTCATGTATCTTCACTTGAATTCTTTTTTTCCACCTTCTGTGAAGGATTATCTTCCTAATGCTTTAGATTCCGAACCTTGTAGGTCTGGGATTACACAGGTCTGGGATATACAAGGTACAGTGCAAGAGATGTTGGTAAAGAAGTTTTAGGGTAAGCGCTTCTTTTGGTTTAGAGACAACTCTTGTTTCTGTTATATGGAGTTCTTATTCATAGATATTTGGACATTCACTTTAGGTGTGTTGTGGAGAATAAAGTGCTACATGGATCTCTATTATCATCCATTCAGGTATTAAAAGGTTATTCACTATGTTTATATTGTTTAAATGAACCACCTCGATCTAAGCCTTATTGGTGAAGTTATAAAGGTTTTGCTTGGATTTTCTTTTTTTGGAAGTTATTGGTTACTCCCAGCACACTATGTAGGCGTCATGCTCCATATTTACCCTCACTGTTCCTTTCCACCCACCTTATCTTTTTGTTTTCTTCACTATGTGTCACTTTGTTACTAAATCTGTATTGTTTGAATCTCTATTTCTTTTATTTGTTAAACTTCAATGGGTTAATTAGGATAAGATGTGTGGAATGAGATGCTGAGTTTTATCCAAAATGGCATGAGCCTTTATTCGATGTAGACCTTAGTTGGATAAGTAGAATGGACTGGGAAAGCTAAACTTCCTGTTTCCTGCATTATGCCTTAACAAGCGCATATTTTGTATGTTTTTAATCTATAGACTAGGTGATTACACACTGGTAATTCCTGACTCTGGAGAATTTGACAGAGCATGGATATTAAGAAGAGAATATACCCTACCAAGTTAAGCTCAATGACCGTAAATTCAAGTAGTCCATTGACAACTTCCGCTGGCACAGCATCACAACCTTCTGGAGGTTCTGCTCGATTGGAGTTGAGCAATGGCGATAGTTTGTATGCAAAGTTGGTGGTAAATCTCAAGTTTTTTAAATGTAGAAGCACAAAGAAATTTCTTCTATAGATATATTAATAGTTCAGTTCAGTGTTTCAGCTGTTCACAGCCGTGCTGTGTGTCACAGGTTGGAGCTGATGGGTCAAAATCACGTGTTAGGGAGTTAGCGGGAATTCAGACAACCGGATGGAAATATTCACAGAGTGCAATCATCTGTACGGTAGAACATGCAGAGCAGAACCACTGTGCTTGGCAGAGATTTTTACCCAATGGTCCAATTGCACTTTTGCCCATCGGTGATAATTTCAGCAACATTGTATGGACCATGGACCCAAAAGAATCATCCGAGCGCATATCAGCGAGTGAGAATGACTTTGTGAACATGGTGAACCATGCATTGGATCAAGGGTATGGCCCTCGTCCCAAATCACAACCATTCGGCAGTGCTGGTTTGCTTTCTCGGCTCAGACCAGGCATCACATCATCAGCCAATGAGCATTTTGAAGCTCCACCCAGAGTTATAAAATTGTCTTCTGCCAGAATGGTCTTCCCATTGTCCTTAATGCACGCCAACAGTTATGCGTCAAAACGTGTAGCCCTTATTGGTGATGCAGCACACACTGTTCATCCCCTGGCTGGTCAAGGAGTTAATATGGGCTTTGGCGATGCAATTGCTCTTTCAAAAGTCATTGCTGAAGGAGTTGCAGTAGGATCTGACATTGGGGAGGTATGCCCGTAATTATTTCTTTCCTTAAGTTCTTAGATAACACCATCATGTCGATAAATAGAAGTATTACCTTGAATCATCTTTTCCTGCACAAGACGGTCTATTAACATAGAAAATACTTAATTTTCCGCTAGTTTCATTCATATATGTTGAAACGTATCCATAACCTATAGCGATGGACTAGGCTACCTATATCTTTATGTATATAAACGAGGTATCGTGCATATGGCTTTGATACAGATATATATATGAATTCCTATATAACAATATTCTTGGAGCAAAAGCAAAAGACAAAAGTGCAATCCACTTTAAAATGAGCTCTTGCAATTTGTGTTCCGGGCATTACACAAACCATTCTGCTTATTTTCGTTCCCGTTATGCATGTACTGATCAAAAGGCTTTCTTGAAACAGGTTTCTGTGTTGAAGAAATACGAATCCGAGAGGAAGCCTGCAAACATTGCAATGATGGCCGTTCTCGATGGTTTCCAGAAGGCATATTCGGTTGATTTCATGCCTGTGAATCTACTGCGGGCTGCTGCATTCCAGGCTACGCACTATATATCGCCACTGAAACGAAATATCATCTCTTTTGCTTCAGGTGAACTCAAGATTCCACTGTTCACATGATCTGTACCGTAGATTTTAGAGATATTTTGTGGTATGCGAATTGTGGAATTTGGTTTAAGTTACTGCCCACTTGAGAAGGTCTTTGCACAATCATTCCTAATAATATCCTTTGATAATTGATATCTAAACCTATATAAACACTAAACATGCACCCAAATTGCTTATACACTTTTTGTGCGACCATAAAAGAGTTAATTCTGAATTTTGTTCTTTTAACTATAGCTTATTTTGCATTCAAAAAAAAACTATAGCTTATTTTTAATTTTAGTCATTTGGCTTTTAAAATTACCAAATTTAATTTTTAAAAATATTAAATCATTTCCAATTGTAATTCTTAATAGGAATAAAGGTTAAATAGGCTATTGAACTACACATTAAATTACAATTAGGCCATTTAATTCAAAAAACTACATTTAGGTCCCTGAACCGCGCAAATTCAAACAATTGAACTTAAAGTGTCTTATTGACCTGGTGATTAGATGATGTGGCGGTTATCAAATTAATTTTTATTTTAAAAATTTTTAATTGAAAAACAAAAATAAAAAGTTGGAAAAACGGAGACAAGCTCTTCGTCTCCAAGCGGAGACGAAGAGAAGAGAGAAGAATTCTTCGTCTTCACTAGTTGAGTCCAAGTAGGCATCTCTCACGCCTCCTTTCTTTTTCAATTAAACAATAATCCAAAAATCCTCTTAGAACGCAAGAAAACATAATCATATCCTTCAAAGCCTTTGAGTTGATAAGAAAATTTGAATATATAACCTATTACTTTCTGCTTGTATTATTTTTTCCAAATTCAAATTAAGCTTCTTTTTTTGTTTTTTTTTCCTTTTTAATTTTAGTATTTTCTAGTTTATTTTTGATAATTTGAGATGGGCATTGACGGTGACAGTGATTCTCCTCTTTGCAGGTAAGTTTTTTTTGTCAATTTTCCTTTTTATTCTTTATGTGTTGATTTTTGAATTCATCTTTGTGGATTTAGGTTGTTTTCTGGGAATTTTGGGTGGAGAGAACTTGTTTGTGCAGTTAAATTTTGTATTGGGAGGATGGATAGTTCGGTTTAGCGAGGTTTGGGGATGAAAGGTTTATGGACAGAGGTTGAGGCTTTAAGTAATAGTTTCTGGTTAGAATTTGTGTTTTTGGTATTGGGTTTTTGGTAAAGATTGTTTCTTTTACTAGAAAGTTTGGAAGTAAAAGATCTCAATCCTGATTTGTTGAAATTCTTCCCATGTTCATAGAGATGGCATGGTACCGGAAGAGATAACATTAAATGTCCACACATTTGGGCAACTCAGAGATTTGAGAACATTCACTTGTGGCGAGGGAGGGGGAAGGGGGTGGCCAGCGGTTTTTTTTGTTTTTTTTTTTTTTAAAAAAAAAAAAAAAAATTATTAAAATAATTTTTTAAAATAAAAATTAATTTGGTAACCGCCACGTCATCTAATCACCCGGTTAACAGGTGAATTTAGGTTCAATTGTTTGAATTTACACTGTTGAGGGACCTGATTGTAGTCTTTTTTAGTTGAATGGCCTAATTGTAGTTTTTGTGTAGTTCGATGATCTATTTGACCCTTATTCCTTCTTAATATGAATTGTTAACATTGAGGATAAAATTGCAAAGTCATGGTCATTGCTCCAATCGTTTTTTACAGAGAAATAAAGTTCTAATTTGTTTTATTCTAGCAGTTCAGGGTTCAATAATTAAGGACTAAATTTGATAACTTTAAAAGTACTAAAATTAGAAATGAATAATAGTAAAGTGGTTAATTTCGAAATTAACTCACAATGAAATGAGTTCATATATACCTACATTCGGCAATTTATATCGTGCACTAGGTTGTGTATTGCATTGTGCGTCCTGGTGCAAAACGACGTCATTTTTATTTTTTTTTTTGGGAATTCCGCTTTCCTGTGTCATTGTTAAGTTTCTTTAAAAAAAAAAAATCTCATTTTTTAAAAATGTACATAATTGTATATTAGAATGTACATAATTATATATTAGAATGTACATAATTGTATAACAAAATACACATATTCTTTTTTTAAAAAATAATACACATAATCTAACATAATACACATGGGCTGGTTCTTTGGAAATGGCACGCCAATAGCTTCGTTGTTGTTGAATACTCTGATCGGAATGTTATCTATCAAGAATCTGTAAAATCAAGAAACATTAATAAAATTGATCAGTACACATACGTTTTCGATCTGATGTAGTATATATGGATTGTACAGATAGATACTTACATGATGGGTTGAAGGTTCCAGAGAATAGAGTATAGGTATGGAAGGAAGTTGTGGGGTCGAACCACGGGTGAAATTGTAGTTCTTAATCGACTTTTTTTTGGGAGGAAATTCGAAGACAATCTCGTCATGTCCTGCCTCTATGCACAAATTCGGGTAGTTGTTGTAGGTTTTCCTAGTCACTCAACACAAAAAAAAAAAAAAAAAAAAAAGTTCACAGATTATTTGAACACACCAAACTTAGTTCGATCAGGATAAAGCTTGGAAGCATCAATGCTAATATTGATGAGAACTGATGAAATTGTATTAACAGAACTTGATTACAATGAGATCTGTGAATATATACAATAGTGAGCCACACTGTGATAGGATAAGAAGTAGAGAGTGTGACAGGGATAAGAAATTCTAAACATACTAGATACATAGAGTCCTAATAATATTGACTAAAGAATGCATCAAACATATCACAATTCACTGGATTAGTTCTGCAAAAATAACTCTTCTGCAAAAATCTTCAATCTGATTTCAACAAAGACCGTTCATTTCAAACTTACCAGGATCAAATTGCTCTCCTTTCCTGAGATTGACTACCCTGTATTCATAAGAAAGACCTGCACCCAAAATCAAAAACAAAACCATCGTTCCAATAATCTCTCAGTTACCCATTAATATTACTTGCTGACCATATTTATTTGTTATTATTATTAGGTTTTTAATTCCAATCATAATTAAGGACAACACAATATTACCAAATATTACAATGTTTATTTAACCAATTTCCATGCATCATTTTCTTACCAACTAAAAAGTACCATTAGTACTTTGACCACTAAAAAAAGTTTGGGGGTAAAAAACACTATAGGATGGGATTTTACTCTTTTATATATATATATATATATATATATATATATATATATATATATATATATATATATATATATATATATATTGGTTCCTGTGAGAACAGGTCTTCCCGTGCGGTCAGTGCGGTATATACCATTATGTATCCATAAATGCATCATACAGCGAGATTACACCCGAATGAAATGCCAAAAAATACACCACACACAAAAAAAATACACCACACATAATGGTGTATTTTCGAACACTTATGGTGCATTTATGCATACCTAATGGTGTATGCCGCACTGACCGCACGAGAAGACCTGTTCTTACAGGAACCTGACCATATGTATATATATATATATATATATATATATATATATATATATATATAAGTGAATTAGGGATCATTTTTCCTTTTTTACTCTTAATAGTATAAGTAAATTATATATCATTTTGTATTTTTAAAATTTATTATCATTATTATTATTATTATTATTAATTACTAATTATTTGGGTGGAAGAGTTTGAGCAGGAAAACACAAAAGATGATTTTGTTTTTAATAATAGTATAGATACTTACCCATAATGCAGGAACCGAAACCTAATGCGCCGCTTATATAATTGATCCCGTAAAAACCAAAACTAATATGCCGCATCCACTCCTCTCATCTCCGCTAGCTTCTCAATTCACCATATACATACATCCATCCATGTACGTACAAATTGATATCATTCGCCTCATACTTTTGAAGTTGAAGGTAGAAGCTCTCATCCGATGTCAATGCGTATGCAAAGAATGGCGTTCTACGATACAACACCCTAATTTCAAGCTCTCCTACCGTGGAGAAAGGCGAGTGCTGGGGGCCAAGGTGTCCACCAACACCTTAACCTTTACATCCATAACCAACAGTGGTTTCGACATTGAAACCCTAGTCCAGGTCAATCGCTCCTTCCTTGACACGTTTCCCCCACTATATCGCTGGTGGTCTGGTGTTTGGTGCTCATGCAACGGGCTGGTGCTTTTCTCTGCGGGAAAATATATTTTGTTGTGGAACCCCTCCACTCATTGCTGCACAAAAGTGCTTGAGTTTCGTCGTTGTTTGGGCAACCCATTGATCCCTGGCCACAATATTGTCTCGGGGCTATGTTACGTCTCGTCCACGAGAGATTACAAGGCTGTTCTGGTGTTCCGTAATCGCCCTGCCCTCGTTGCCAGCCTCAAGAACAAAGAGTGGCGAAATGTGCCATTTCCTTACCGCCTATCCGCTGGAGACGGTGTTAACTTTCGCAACACACCCCATTGGTGTGCAATTGTTTCTAGGGTTTCCAGTTCGTCATGGAGATGTGATCAAAAGATCATTTATTTTGAGGCGGAGAGCGATGAATTCAAAGAGCTTCCCACCCCTGAACTGCAAGGAGGGAAAGGTGAAGATCTTGGCCTTGGCCTGGGAATCATTGATGGTTGTCTCTGTTTATGCATGGCTAGAGAGGCTATAGGAATAAGAGAAGAGAAACTAGACGTGTGGGTTATGAAGGAATATGGAGTGAAGGAATCGTGGGTCAATCAATTTGTCATCTCTGTCACCGCCTCTCGCTTTTTCCGTCTTAATTATAGTACCATCACTAAATTATACTCTTCCAAATGCAATACCAAAGTGCTGATATGCAGTTGTTACTATGGTTACTGGGAAATATTTGTTTTTGATGTGAAGAATAACACACTCCACATTTTTGATGTGAAGAATAACACACTGGACAATTTTGATATCTCAGAAGAATTAAAATATGATCGTGGTGCTATATGTTCCTATGTTCAGAGTATTGTTTCGCCACATGAATTTATCTGGACAGATGATCAACACAAAGCCTCCGAGAATGATGCTGTGTTGAGGTTTATTTTGAAAATGTTTAATATCTAATAAAAAAAATGCTACCTTTCTGTTGGGTCAAGACCCAAGTTTATCATAATTATTATTTTTTTTTTTTTTTCATAATGGACTCTTCAATATTACATTTTCTAAAGTATTACACATTTCCTTATAAGTAAAAATAATAAATTTTAATTTTTAAGTTATAAGACAGATGTAATTTTTAGCAGGTGCAATAACACTTCCAAATTATTCACACATTATTTTGGATTAAAAAAAAAAATACACATTCGTTTTTGTAGTCTGGGTAATATGCAAGTGGATGACATAAACATTTTATTGGTCATCTAATCACCATGTTAACAGGTGAATTTAGGTTCAATTGTTTGAATTTGTGCTGTTGAATTTAGGTTCAATTATTTGAATTTGTGCTGTTCAGGGACCTGATTGTAGTCTTTTTGAGGGTTCAATTGTTTGAATTTGCGCTGTTTAGGACCTGATTGTAGTCTTTTTGAGTTGAATGGCCTAATTGTAGTTTTCTGTGTAGTTTGATGGTCTATTTGACCCTTATTCCTTCTTAATATGAATTGTTAACGTTGAGGATAAAATTGCAAAGTCATGGTCATTGCTCCAATTGTTTTTTTACAGAGAAACAAAGTTTTTTGTTTTTTTACAGAGAAACAAAGTTTTTAGTTTTTTTATTCTAGGAGTTCAGCGTTCAATACTTAAAGGACTAAATTTACTTTAAAAGTTAAGTACTAAAATTAGAAATGAGTAATAGTCAAGTGGTTAAATTCGAAATTAACTCACAATGAAATGAGTTGATATATACCTACACTCGGCAATTTATATTGTGCACCAAGTTGTGCATTACATTGTGCGCCCTGGTGCAAACGACGTCGTTTTGATGATTTTTTTTTTTTTTGGGAATTCCGCTTTCCTGTGTCGGTTGTTAAGTTTCTTAAAAAAAAAAAAATCTCATGTTTTGAAAATGTACATAATTGTATAACAAAATACATGATACTGCTAATTATACGTAAGCAATATGGAATAACCCGAGACCGAATAAAGCAAGTAAATGTCTTTATTGATCACGGTAAAGGCCCTAAGTACAATCTACTTGGTTGCTCTGAGTACCGACTGACTGCGGTCGGGATTCTCTAACAACAACCTATCGATCGTCCAAAAGTCCCCTACACTGTAGCTACTGTGGGTATTTATAGCCGCTATGCCGGGGACAGGATTCCAGCCGTTCGGCATGCCCTCCACGTAGCCACCACGTGTCATCCTCCCGGGTACCCTGTCTGTCGTCGTAGAGAGTCGCCACGTGTCTTTCGTCAGCTCTCTTGCCAAAGGGCTACCGCTCGGCGGTCGACACCGTCGCTCGGGCAACTCCCGGTCGGCTCCCGACCGGGTTCTTCACAAGGAGCCCGACCTGCTACCTGCAAAGACAAAGAGAAAAAGACAAAGGCTTCTCGGTCGTGGTGAAGCTATGTCGGTCGGGATATTCCCTACCAAGAGCCCCCCAGCCCGGGCTTTTTTGATCGTCCGGGAAAAAAATGGACCGGGATGAAGAAGCCCAACCGTCGGCCGCTAAACCGACCGGCCAGCTGTCATTCCCTTCTCCGCCACGTGTCGGCCACTGCCGGCCTCTGCGACTGCAACCGTCGCCTCGGAATCAGCGCTGGTCGTGTCATGCAAGTAGATGATTTTCCCGCCCAAACGCCCTCCTATAAATAGGCCCTTGAGGCCTCCATTTGGACTTTCCTCAATCCACTGAAGCAGTCGGTACCCTCAGAGAGTCCCGAGCAGGGCACCTTAACAAGGCAGTCGAGCAAGGAAACCTTCAAGCTTTCAACCGCAAAGTTCCTCCATTCGGTAAATTCTCAACTCCTCCCTTTACTTTGCGCCTTCATTTATAAGTAGAACTGATAGGCCAACTAACTGTCCCGGACGTCTCAAGTCCCTTACTAACCCCGACCGACCTTTAGGTAGATCGAAATGACGGATTCTGACAGCCAGAACGCCTCGATTGCGGACTATGACGAGGAGGTCGAGTACCTCAGCGAGGAGGTGGACATCATGTCCTACTCCCCAGAGGTCGAACAACGACCACAACCCACTCCCGACCAAGCCCCTGAGCCAGCAGGGTCGTCAAGCTCGTCAGGGACCTCGGGGTCGAGCTCCAGCGGGTCGGGGAGCGAAGAAACGTCCACGAGCGGACGGACACTCCCGGACGAAGGCGCTAGGGACACGCCCACGAGGGTAATAGGGGATTACCCTCGAGCCGAGCATGAGGGCGGAGACCGGGCCAACGAGGCCGAAGGGGACGAAGAGGACGCGACCGGGCCGGCGCCGACGGGCGGGGACGGGTTTGCGTTCCTCAATAGCGAGAGCGTTGAAGGCCAGAAGAGCTTGCTGACAAAAGGAGAAGCAAGCAAAATTGCGGCAACTCTTGCTGGTCGGGTCGAATTCGATACCAGCAGACAGCTCGGAAATATCATCGAGCGGCACCAAGAGAAATGGATCGGGCTGCATTACGATTCGCTAATGGCCCCGATCACATTCCCCTTTTCCAGCCTTCTTACAGCATTCTTGGGCTACTACCAAGTTATGCCCGGGCAGATTTGCCCGAACGCGCACCGAATAATCGCGTGCTTCCCCCAGATCTGCCGTCGACACGACGTGGCCTGCACCATGGAACTTTTCAACTTCGCCTACCAAGTGAAGGTGCTAGCGGCCGCGTACGGGGGAGGTTTTCTGATGATACAATCCCGAGCGGATAGATGCTCGATCGAAGGGCTGCCCGGGAACAACCGGGGGTGGAAGAACCGGATCTTCTCCGTAAAATACGATCCGTGGATCCTCCCGGTCGAGAGGGTTTGGAGTCAGCGTTTTCGAAAACAAGTCACGCCAGTCGAGACCCCGACCCTCATCGATGCCGTGACCAAGATCTCGGGCGAGATCTACGAATACCGCATCTTCAAATCGCCCGAGTGCTACGAAGCGGCCCGGCTCCCCATCCGGTCTACGACCAGACCGAGAAGTACAAGCCCGAGCCGGCAGGTGTAACGATCGCACGGATGCCCGCTCAGGGCAAGAGGAAGGGTAAAAGCTTGAAGCTAACTTCTTTCCCGATCCTTAGCATTCTGAGCGTATATTCTCTATCGTCCCGAGTTGACTAACTTTCTTCTTTGTTTGCAGCCATGGCGGAGTTCGGAGACGAAGATGCCCCCCTTCCCCCGCCCGCCAAGATCTCCCTTGGCGGCAAGAAGAAGGCGAAGGCGAAGCCAGCCGGGGAAAAGGAGATCCCGACGGCCCGACCTCTACCTACCTCGACCGTCACGACGGCGGAGGGCTTCATCGTTGAGCCGACGGACGTCTTGGTCACCCGGGTGGAAGTCGCCCGGGGCAAAGAGAAAGTGCCCGAGCGGGGCGTGACGGAGGTGGGCGGTATGAAGCGCCGCCGAGAACAGCGCAGCCCGAGCCCTTCGGTCGGGCGAGAAGGGGCCGCTACGTCCATACTGGCCCGGATCGGCAACGCCGGGCCAGCTAAGGAAGATCTGGGGAAGATGACCCCGACCCAAGTGGCCGAGAAGATTGGCTACGACCTGGCCGAGGTAAGCTCTCTTCCACTAATTCTCTTTTATGTGCAAGTGTCTTCGACCGGGCTAACGCCGAACATATTCTTGTATTGTAGATTTCCCGAGCGGCCCAACTCCTTCAAGGTCGGGCCATGCTGGTCGAAGAAGCCGACCACCACAAGAAAACGGCCGCTCGTCGCTTGAAGGAAATCAAGGACATCCAGGCCGAGCTGGAGAAGGCCCAGAAGGGCCTGAAAAAGAGCGAGGAAGACCGGGCCCTCGCAGAGAAAGTCGCCCAACGGGCGATTGGGGAGGCGAAAGAGCTGAAGGCCCGGCTCGATAACCCGAGCGAGCTGGTGCAGACTGTCTTCAAGGACAGCGAGTCGGGCTCAGCGTTTCTCACGGCGGCCCGGGGAACTAAGGTCGGAGAGGACCTGATCGTCTCCTTCGGCCGATGGGCGTTCAAGTCCGGGCAACGCAAGATGCTGGAGCAGGCCCGTACCCGGTTGGAGCAAGCTCTCGACGGAGAGGATCTTCAGCTGGTCCTGTCGGCTTTACCCCCGGACCTAGCCGACCCCGGCCCCTCCCCCTTCGCTCCCAAGGAAAAGGCGGCCGAGCCTGGGGCATCGTCGGCGGCCACTTCGAGCGGGAAGGAGGCAGCTTCCGGAGCTCGGGAATTGAAGAAGTAGAATAGGCTTCTTCTTTTTTGTAGAAACGCTGATCGGGAGCCCGGTCCCGAATTTGTACCGGGCATTCTTTTTTCGATCAATAAAACTCGTTTTGTTACTTATATTGTTCGTCTTTCTTTCTGCTTTTTACTTTTAGTCGTGCACATGCCGACCCTTAATACTCGAACTCATGGTCTTTTGGCCCGGCCCTGCACTACTCGATCCGTTCGACGCCCGACCTTATGGCTTTGTGGCCCGGTCGTGCATCCGAGATTTCGACATCAAACTGGCCAACCTGATCGGGTTTACCCGGTCTCCAGGCCTTGTCAAAATTCTTGAAAATAGGTAAGCCTCTACGGTCGGGATACTTCCGAACGACGGGCCTGTAAATACTGGCCAACCTTATGGCTTTGTGGCCCGGTCGTGCATCCGAGATTTCGACATCAAACTGGCCAACCTGATCGGGTGTACCCGGTCTCCAGGCCTTGTCAAAATTCTTGAAAATAGGTAAGCCTCTACGGTCGGGATACTTCCGAACGACGGGCCTGTAAATACTTCCTTCATCCCAGCCCCCACACTATTGTGCTCTCATGGCACGAGTGAGTGCAATAGTGGACAAGAAGTGATCAGATCGGGGAATTATGCTGTGTGCTCCTGGCTTCCCCGACCGGTGGCGTGACTCGAATGTCCGCCGACGTGGAGCGCACCTGACCGGTCGATAAATTCGCCCGGTCGGTGTAGCTTGATAAGTCGATCTGCGTGCACTGAAGGTAAAGAAAATAACCGACCGGGCCGCCGC